AGATAGACTTGGGTGAGGGAGGGTCCCTCACAGGCAAGTGTTGTGTCCCCATTTGTCATCCTGCTGAACTCCAGCATCCTGCCACGTGCACAGCCATCACATTGTGTCATGGCCACACACTGGAGCCTTCTTCATTGAAGGGTGCCTTGGGCTCATCCGGACATCCAAGTGCAGCTAGTGGGACATCCTCTCCTCTGGACACCCCACACTGTTCCCTCTCCTGCCACACGAATCCAAAAACCAGAGGAAAATCCACTGCGTTGCTGTGTACTCCCATCCCCGTCCTGTCCTGGCTGCCGGGCGTGGAGCAGTGCCGGCTCCCTCCCGGGCACATGCGTGAGGGCACCGCGCCAACAGCTAATGGGAAAGTTCAGGGTCGGGGCGAGCCGCGGGGAGAGGCACATAAAGAGCCCATTGTGCAGCAGGTCTCCCTCGGCTGTGCTCATACAGGGCTCGCAGTTCAACAACAAAACGCAGCCCAGAAATATGACAAGACACCTTTTTCCCAGGCTGCTGTTAAACTCTAATTAAACATTTCAGCACACTTGAGCAAGGGAATGTCTGCTTCTCAGGCCCAGGCTATCTCAGCTGGAAAACATCTCCTCTGGTGCAAACAGGCTTGTGCAGGTTGACCCAGAAAGATGCCCCTTGGGCCCAAGGATGGTGCAAACCCATATACCAGAGTGGGCAAGCAGCTCCCATCCACCCACCTTCAGGCCAGCAAGGGGTCCACTTGCTGCCCTCCTGTCTGGAGGATGGGTGTGGGCTGGAGCAGCCTGAGAAGGGGCTGTGCAGCCAGGCACACCTTGGGCAATGCCACTGCTGGCAGTCACTGGCAATTCTCCCTGTTTCTCACCATGGGGCCTGGGAGTCCCTGTGTCTGCCGGGACAGCAGGCGCAGGAGCATGGTCTAGAGAAGCAAGAGGCAACATCTGCACCCACATCAACCTGGTACAAAGGAAAGCCAGGCAACAGCCCCAAATCCAGCCTTTACGACACAGAAATTGCCCACTGATGAAGAGGGATCATGACTCTTGCCCACATGGTCTGTGCAGAACCTTAGGCAAGGTCATACCTCTCTAACCCACTGTCCTACAAATATTTAACATCATGCCTTACAGCAGCCATATAGCACAGCCCACAAGCTCTGTCATCAGACCTGGTAGGTTTTTGGTCCTCAGAGCTCCTATTTCAGTAAAGCAAATTCTTCACAAACTTAATCACTCTCATGGCCAGTCCCTGGGGCTGCTGGTTCCCTTCCTCAGGCCTGGACCACAGTTCAACTCCCCCACTCCAGAGGTTTGGACATTTTAAAATAACCCATTAGATAAGCAAAATGTTGGATTCTCACTCTTCGTGTGCTTTGCAATGCCAAGCCATAGGCAATGACCATCATCACACCTTGTTGTGACATTTTGGTTGGTCTTAAGTAACTGCTTTCCCAACCTCCCCTATCCACCTTCCTCAGCTTTTTCCACACTTGGGCAGGCATATTGGCTTGGGCCCCTTTCCTGTTCCCCCCAGGGAAGCAGAGGTGGTCCCACACTTTCAATTGACCTGGAAATCTCCAAAGCTCAGCAGGCTGGGGGAGATGACCAGCCTGGGGATGCAGAGGTTCTGCAGAAAGATCCAACCCAAAGTCCATCTCCTTCCAAAGTCCCACCCTTTGCTCTCCTCTGGTTTTCTGGGGAGCAGAGGACAGCCTGTTACCATGAGCCCCAATCCCCTGAGAGGGGTTTGCCACTCACTCAGTGCACCTGTGGGATCATGCACCACTGGGGAGGAGAGGCAGGCCTTGCCACTGGCTTTGTGGCACTGCAAACTGAGATGCGGGAACCAGAGCACACACCCTCCAAGTGATGCTGTTGGAAAACACAGTGAGGATGGAATTGGCATCCTGCTGTTTTAAGGAATGAAGGGGAAAGAAAAGAGCACAAAAGAACTGAGCAATGAAGCCAGGCACTGTTGGGAACAAGGATGGGTGTAAGTCAGCAGACAGGGGCAAGGTGGCTTGAAGACTCCCCCGCAGATCACCGGGATGCCCAGGGCTGGTATGGCGACGGTGAGGTGGCAGAGCCCGGTGGGCACCACAGGAGCCAGCCCTCCCCACATTATTGAACGCAGACTTTGGCCATTACTTGAAGTAGTAATTCCTCAGCACGTTGTTTCTAGCAGGCACAGACCATAACCCCCCCAAAACCCCACCGCTGATGCTCTGATGTATGAACCAGACTCGTGGAGGGGCCATGGTAGTGCCAAGCTGCTGACATGGATGTACCTCAGCTGCTGTTTTCAGCATCTGTCATCCCCCCTGAGCACGACCCAGCAGGAACAGCAAACCAAGGACAGGCAGCTCCCCCACGTGCAACCTCAGAGTAAGAAACAGGTCACCCAGCAAAGGGTTACTACAAAAATCTGCCATTTCTAAGATTGCTAAGAAGTGGGAAGGTGTCATGCCCTTAAAGGCTCCGAGTGGAGTGACAGCCCAGGTGATGACACTTGTAATTTGGCATCCCATGTGGGTGGAATTTGGCAAAACTGGTCTCTCCTGATCTGAGGACATTCCAGCTCCCAGCACAGGCAGTCTGAATTGAACTTCCTCAATAAATACAGCATCTGGGGGTTTAATCCAAGACCCCTGCAGTTAGAAAAGCAGCAGCATGTTCCCTGGGGACACTTCTGTTCCAAACTGTCAAGGCTCTGTACCTCCAGCCACCACCGGCACTGCAGTCCCTGGGAAACCTCACCATGCTCTCTGTGTGGGCTGCTCTCACAGGACGCTGTTACCTCCAAGAAAATGGCAACACCAACCTGTATCTGGTACCTGCCCTGGGATGGCATGTGGCTGCAAACGGCTGGCAGCCCCAGAGGGGGCCACAGCCACATGTGGGGCTGTTCCCAGATCCCAAGTGCTCACAGGGCTTGTCCCCTTCTTAAGCCACTGCAGCAGGATGGGGTGGGAGGCTGGATTTAGGAAGGAATCTTGACTCTTCTAGGAAAAGCAAGTTAGGGCAGCGGGGCCTTTACATCCTCCCTGCACAGCACCCGGGCTGTGCTGCGCTCTGGGGCTTTGTGGGACATGTCCACCCCCCAAAACCTTGGTTCACTGAGGGTTTCCTGGGTGGCACCATGAGCCCCAGTCCTGGCACAGACACGATTGTGAGGCAGTGAGGGAGGTGACAGCTGTGGGGACAGAGACTGAGAGCACCCATCCTCTGGGCAGTGCACACGCCAAGGGGGTTCACCCCCACGGCCCACACACTTGGCTCCAAGACCGTGTCCCTGCCAGGCACCGTGACCCACAGCTTCCCCATGGTACCCACAGCTGAAGGAGATACTGACACTGAACTGGTGATGGGGGGCCCGATCCTGATTTATTAGCCAACTGTTTCCCAGGCTCTCCTGCTGGCTGCCCCCACCACAAGGACGTGTGTGTCGATGGGATGGGATTGGGGCACGAGAGTGAAGTGGGGACAAAGATGATGCTGCACCATGATCCTCTTCCTCCTCCTCCTCCCTGATCTTGGCAAGGGCTTGGGACTCTGGCTGCAAAGGGAAAAGGTTCCCAGGGTGAAGGTGTTAAATACCCTTCTCCCGTGCTGCTGTAACCTCGCAGTCCCCGGGGTGTGAGAATCAGACACTATTATCCCCTCATTAGGAACTAACATACTGTACTAACCTTTTCACATGAAAGCTACGGTCTGTTCACCAACAAAAGCTGATGCTTGGTTCCCAGGAGTGGAAAAAAACCCAACCCCACAAGTACTTAGCGGGGGCTCTGGGGCTAGCCGTCCCTGCTGGCTCTGCGCAGACCCTGCCCAGCCCCGGCGGACAAGGGGCTCTGAGAGTGGGGGGCCAGCCAGGCAGGCAGTCCCGGGGGAGTGGAGCAGGGGAAGCCCCCCGAGGCACGGGGACCCTCTTCCACATTCTGAGATGGCTGGGGTCCCCCTTGTCTGTCTCCCCCTGGGGAGGGATGGATGGGGCTGTGGGTGGGGGTGCAAGGGGGGTTCCCTCCTCTGAGGTTTATGCTGCAGGGAGCCCTTGCTCATCATGACATGCTGCCATGGCTGTCCTCTAGACAGGGGTCCCTGGGACAGTAGACCCTCCAGCCACTGGAGCCACTGCAGCTCACCCCAGACTCCCCCTCAGCAGCTTGCAGGCTCAGGCTGATTCTTCCCACACCACGGACCAAAGCACGTCAGGATTTGCAAGATCTGAAACTTCCACTCCTCTTCAGGCTACCCTGAAAGGTAGGAAGTGAGGCTGGGAAAGCGTCACCAGGCCATGGAAAAAAACATCTGCACAACACCTGGGGCCCCAGGTCGGCATCTAGAGCGGCCTGATTTTAAGAGCACTGAGCACAGCAGGCACTAGCCTCCCTGGGAAATATGGCCATAGCTGGGATGGGATGTGCATCACCATAAAGCACATCTCCCTGCCCCAGTCATTAGCAGACATCGCCTCAGAAGATGAACAGTTGGGTTTAAATCCTTCTTGCTCCAGTGTCTAATTAAATGAGACCTGTCTGGGGTGGCAATTTGAACTTCTGCCCATTGCGGCTGCTTGATGCTGAGATAAAGAAGGGGCTAGAGGAGAGATCCTGAAATGAAAAGTGTTTTTGTGGTTTCTTTACTTTAAAAACATCTGCTCTGCCCCATTTTTGGCTGGAGACCTTTGACAGCTCGGGGAAGTCAGCTTGAGAGATACCCAGGGCCCCAGCAGGTGCTGAGTGTCTGGAGTCCCACACCTGGGGACACATCCCTGCCTTCCCGCCTGGCTGCAAGACCCCACAAATTCCAGATTCACTTGTTGCCTCGTAGCCTCGACAGGTCCATGCCTCTAACAAGGAAAGCAGGCAGAAGGAGGGATGCATGATCAATTTTTTCCTTTCCCCCCCTCTCCCTATTGCTTCTTTCCCCCTCTGCCTCTACCTGCAGCCAGCTGTGAAGGCAGCTCCCTCCCTGACTTCACAACCCTCCTGTCCCTAAGGGCCAGGGGACTTTTCCAGGTCCTCCAACAAGCAGCTGGCCCATTCCAGGCGCTCTGGTGAGGGGCAGGTGACCCTCAGCTCCCCCAGCTCTGTCAGTAAGTCCCGTTATGTAGAGGCAGGTGGTTTTTGCATTGCACATACATGTTTATTAGATCCTGGCCCAAGCCCACTGTGGTTTTGCACAGACCACTGGCGACAGCTTCCAGGGTTGTTGCGCTGTCCTAGGATGCTGTGAAGGTGTCATCGGTGCTACATTCTGTTTTGCAAAGTAATTAAATTAAAACCAGTGAAACATTTCGGTGCTGCCTGGCTGCTACTTTCCGCAGTGCGGCCGGGTGCAGCGGCCTGCGGTGGCCTGAAGCACACGCGGCCGCTCTCCTGGGCTGCTCTTTTCAAGAAGGTCACTTTCCTTCACAGTTGCTGAAGTCAGATTTGGGTCATCAGGTTTGATCTAAACATGTCAGAGGACTGGAATTCAGGGGGAAGCAGAAGCATGATAAACACGGGCTGTCTCCCAGTGCATTTCTGGGTTGGTTTCAAAAAACTTTTGGTTCACTTTTGGTGTCCAGCAGGCAGGATGGGAAACACACAGGCAGGTTTAGTTTGTTGCCTGACAGGTGCCTCGGCACTCGCGGCAGTGAGGGCAAAGCTTGTCCACCGTGCCAGCACAGACTGTAGCAGCACCTCTGCACATGTGTCCATGTACTGGAGATGAGCACATGGGTGAGTTATAACCTCTTGTCCATAGTTCAAAAGTACTTTTGAGCCACAAATCGAGCCAAGACCATAGGCATTAAGTTTTGTGCAAGGTGAGAAGTGATCCTTCCCCAGCAGCCAGAGCGGACAAGGCAGGAGGAGGGAGAGCTGGTGCAGAGGAGAGGTGCAGAGCTGAGTCGGGACCTTGGTCCCCCTGGCTGTTGTCCTTGGGCTTCCCAGTGCCAACTGAATCCCACAGGTCCTGAAGAGGTTGGTGCTCTCCAGGGAGGGGCAGGCAGAGCACTGTCAAACTTGCTGCAGCTGTGAGAGAGGAGCAGCCAGGAGGGTTGGTCCAGTGCCTTCAGCCCGGCTTGGCTCCCCAGAGCTCCTCCCCAGCTCCACACGTCCAGCACACTTGGGTCCAGCATGGGAGATGTACAGCAGTGTCTGAGCAAGCACACGTGGCCCCGGGGTGGGCAGCAGCCCCAGACCTGCTGGGAGATCAGCCAGAAGACACAAATGGAGAGATGTGTTTAGAGGACAGGTCCAGATTTTCTGCTTCCCCTGCCCTGAGGTCTGCCTAAAACCAATCATTTCAAAGAGGTTCAGAACCAACCAAGCTACCCTAAGGCAATGAAAATTAACATAAAATGCAACATTTTAAGCTGAAACAAGTGATTCCACCCAAGATTCTTCATTTCAGTCCAGGCAGTGATGAATCATTGCAGTCTGGGTTATGCAGACACCAAGCTGGAGACCCCTTTGGCTTCATCAGCATCCTCGTCCAACACTGTGCATCCCTGAAGCCTTGTTGGTCCCCACATGCCATGTCAGGGGGCTCAATGCCCTTTTCCTCACTCTCCTTTGCTTGTGGCCATAGCCAGTTGGGGCCTCTGGCCACCACCAGCCTGCCAAGAAGTCCTGCAGCCTGGCAGAGCTCTGGGGTGCACAGAGCCAGGACTAGAGGATAAAACCCTCTGAGTTCTGCCTGAGCAGCCTGGGGCAAGCAGATTGGTATTCACCCTGGGAGGGAGAGATGGAGGGACAAAGCAGATGGGAGCTTCTCCTGGTCAGCCCCATTCCACAGCTACCTGCAAGGTTGAGGCTCCTCAAAGCAACAGCCCAGGCCCTTGCACAGGCTTTTGCATACAAAAATGATACATAGACATGATAAATGGGCCTTCATCAGATACCTGAGTAGAGTTTCTGGGGGGAATAAGCTTGCTAGGCTCAACCTCAAAGTCCAAGGCAAGTTTAAGTCCAAACCTGCATGTCCCAGGCTTTCTGGGGAAGGTGTTGGTGCCCGTCTCTCTGAGCACCGCCCAGCTCTCACTGCTCTGTGTGAGCCACTGGGGACAAACCACAGCAGTGCAGATTACAGGGACTGCTGAAGCACTGCATCCCTGGCAGCCCAGGAGACACCCGCTCGCCCCATGACTGCCCTGAGGATTCCTGCTCCTCCAGCTTTAGTCTTGGGCAAAGGAGAGGCTAAAACGAGATTATTATCCCCCCCTGATAAAAAGAGACCTGCCTAGGTGATGCCTGTGCCCTGATGAATCTGAGCAGAGATGGCAGAGGAGGCACTGAAAGACCAGCCTGACACACAGCCCTCCTGAAAGCCCAGGGCTGAGCGAAAGGGAGCACAGTGTGCAATGGCAGAACGGCACAGCACAGGGCAGGGCACCAGTTGTGATGGGCTTCCACCGCATGCCACATCACGATGGTGTGGCATGGGAATGCTCTTGTTGGGGACAGGAGTCCTGGGGACTGGGGACACCAAGGTTTCCCACTCTCAGACAAGGCACTGAGTCCTGTCCCCAGCCTCACCACGCACAAACCAGAGATGAAGACTTTGCCCAAGGCTGTGTCACTGCTGTGTCTGTCACCAATGCATGATGGCACCTGCCTCTGGGTGACAGGAACAACCCCAAGCAGACAGCACAGTCCCAGGCAGGGCCTGGAGTGGCACACCTGCTCCACGCAAGTACATCCCCCCTGCAACACTTCTCCTTTGGCAAACACCCCAGAGCCTCCCCGCCTCTATGCAATGTCCTGAAGGATGCTCAGCGGGTCCCGCCGCCCCTTTGACACCTCAGCCGGGCAGCGGGTGGGGAGCGCTGCCCTGCGGCATGGGGCTCGATGCCAGGCCCTGGGAAAGCCCGGCGCTGGCTGCCACCATCCCGCTGCGCAGCACAGATGAGAAAAAAAACAACTCTCAGGGCTTCCCCTCACCTCCCGTCCTCGCCCTGCGCTGTGGCCCCACTGGGTCTTTCATCTCCAAGCGCCAGCGGCTCTTTCATCTCCCGCCCGAAGGTGCTAATCGCGCCCCTCCCGCTGCAGCCGCCACCACCAGCCACTCACACCAGCAGCTTGGCCCGATGCTGCCAGGACCAAATGGCTGTAACGTGGCCTGTCCTGCAAGCCCTGCTTGCCGGGAGGGGGGCAGTGGGTGAGGATACCTGTCACCTCTGCAGTCATTGGCAAAATGCTCAGGACCCCCAAAATCTGGCTGCTCCTAGGTGCCTGCAGAGAAATAAAGGCACCAGGATCTCTTCTCATTCTCCCTGCAAATAAGATGATGCCAGGCTTGCACCTGCTCTTGTTCACATTTGCTCAGACTCAGTTCATCTTTGTCAACTTATGCTGATGCAAAACAAGCCCACTCTACCCCAGTGGGCAGATGTCCAGGTCACCCTGGCATTCCTGGTCCTGCATGACGAGGTGGTTTCCCAGCCTTAAAACCCAAAGGACCCGTCCCAGCTGCCCTGCCCAACCTCCAGCCCAGGGAAGCTCACCATCATCCCAGCAACCAACCCTGCAGTTTATGGTCCAGATACAGCTTATCTTTGGATTCTGGCATAAAGGTGACAAGGCTTCACTATCACAACATAGGTCAGGGTGTCTGGGCATGGGGGCATGGTGATACCTCTGCTGAAGGGCTGTGAATCCTTATGAGTGGCATTAAAGAGCGTCTGTGATGGGTATGAAGTGCAAAGAGAGCAGAGCTGGATAATGTAAAAAGCTGGGTGAGAACGAGAACAAGAAAGAGAAAAAATAGAAAGAAAATGAAGAAGAGAAAGAAAAAGGAAAAAATAAAAATAAAAATAGAAAAAATAAAGGTAAAGCAACAGGCTTATGGGAAGCACATCAACTCTGGGGCTCTCACGTGAGGCTGGCCGAGAGCTGCCCCACACAGCCATGTCCCGCCAGCATTATCTGGATGTGGCTCCCAGTCTTGCACCTTGGGTCAACTTGGGAACTGCACCCCCCATGGGTGCCAGACCCGTAGCAGCACTGGCAGGGGCCGTGGCAGGGACTGGGCTCACACCAAGCAGCATCACTGTGTGCACTGGCTCTGCCAGGGAGCAGCAGTAGGGCCCGGGGTTGGCTGGGCTGTGGTGGCAGCCTGACCCACCCTGGGGAGCCAAGTGAGCCCCAACCAAATCCTACACCACAGAGTCGGAGCTTCCTGGCACTTCACCGCCTATGCTGGAGCTGGCAGTGCTGAAGCAGCAGGATGAGGGCAATGCTGGGACGGGCACGTGGTGTCAGGACACGTCACTGAATCACAGAATCATCTCCGTTGGAAAAGACCTTGAGGCTCCTCCAGTCCAACCATCAACCCAACATGAACAGTCCCCAACTCCCCCAGATCCCTCAGCGCTGGGTCAACCCGACTCTTCAACCCCTCCAGGGATGGGGACTCCCCCCTGCCCTGGGCAGCCCATTCCAACGCCCAACAGCCCCTTCTGCACAGAAATCCTTCCTCAGAGCCAGCCTGACCCTGCCCTGGGCAGCTTGAGGCCATTGCCTCTTGTTCTATTACTTGGCTCAAGAGACTCATCCCCCCTCTCTGCACCCTCCTGGCAGGGAGTTGTAGAGAGCCAGGAGGTCTCCCCTCAGCCTCCAGCATCACCACATCACAAAACTGCACCCAAAAAGCCAGTAATTAACACCAAAGAGTTTTCACACCACCAAACGGCTCTTCTGCAAAGAACCAAAGGGACAAGCCGTGGGAACAGTGAGGCTGGCGGGCAAGGGAGGGCTCTGAACCGAGGGAGGGCTGCAGGTGGCAGAGCCACTGAGGCTCCCCCGGGCACACAGGGCTGCCACCGACGCGCATCACAAACTGCACGGGCCCATGGTGGGGTCGGGGCTGTTGGGGTGAGGGGGGCCCTGGCAGGACAGCCCTCACTGGTCTGAGCCAGCCCCTTCACAAGGAAGGCGCCCGTGCCTGAGCAGGGCGCACCCATCTTGTCCCACACAGGGACATTCAGAAATCCCCGGGGGTTCGCCCCATGTGCCTTCGCAAGCCCCACTGAGGCATCTCCCAGAGACCCAGTTTTCCAGCCTGTTTTCTGGCTGCTCAGCTGTTGAACATCAGTTAAAAGGAAGCAATTAGCACCTGTTGTTAACTGAATTGTTTTGCAACCAAAAAGTTAATAGCCATCCAAATTTAATCTAACCCTACAAAACAGTCACAGAACTCAGACCAGCAAAACCTGACAGTCCATCTTAACACATGCTGATGCTCCCAGCCTGCCTTCCCCTGTCAAATTCAACCGTCCCAGCCTTTTCTCACATTTACTATTTTTCCGACTCATCACAGATAGACTGACCATGGGCATTTATTCTCCCCTGGGACATACAGCACCAGGGTTTGCAGAGCTGTGTGAGGGACACATGGGTTTAGCATCCCACTGATGGGAAGGAGATGTCTGATCCTCAGGTGTCCCAGACTCCAGCCAGGGAAACGTGGTCTTTGGAGACAAGAGGACAATTGTCCTTGGCCCTCTGCCAGCACTGGAATAAAGGAATAAAACTGGCTGCTGGCAGCACCTCCACAAACGCCTTCTCCAGCCATCCCTGCCCTGTCACAGTGGCAGAGGGAACCCCAAAGGGGACCAAAGGCTCAGAGAGGTTGCAGGGGCACTGTGAGGGTGCAGAGGGTTCAGGGCTGGAGCAATCCAGGCAGCTGGTGCTGTTTGTTTTGCTCCAGAGATCCGGATCTTACCTATTTAAATAAACTGCCCAGGAGTGTCAGTCCTGTTCTTGAGTGCACAGGAAACAGCTGTATTGGATTAGGCAGGGCTAAATTGGTGACCCTGATAGCCTGGGAATAATAATAATAATAAATAATAAAATATAATAATAATAACAATCCCCTTCTGTTGCAAGACTATTTATTTTCTATAAAAAAATCCAAGAGCAGCCCATCACATGGCAGCCAGCAGCCGGCTGGGTCCCTTCAGCAACTCTTCAGGGGTGATCTGTGGTGGGAGAGGTGGGAGATAATGTTTGCCTGATGGCTTATCCAAGCACCCCAGAGGGGCTCAGCCTGGCCTGGGAGTGGGAGATGCTGTGCCCCACGGGGTTTTGAAGGCAGGGAGGTGCTGGGCTGACAGAGGGTGCAGGCGATGCCTTTGCAGCACCAATGGCTGGGAGGATGCTCCCCTTCCCGGTGCTGGAGCTGCCCCTCCACGTCCTTGGC